CTGAAACTGCTGGTTCTTTAGCACCAATAAAGGCAGTGGTTCAAATTGTACCTAGTAATCATTGTATTTTTCACCCTGTACTCAGTTTTTAAAAAAATGTTTTAGTGTCCTTGGAGCCAATAAAATTAATTGTACTAGTCCTTTCATAAACATCCTTTTTGTGAGGCAAAATGAAAAGCACAGTTGTCCCTCTGTCCATAGGGATTTGGTTCCAAGACAAGACCCCCATGTCCACTGCTGTTCACTCAAGTCCCTTAGATAGAGTGAAGGTAGTATTTGCATATAATCTCTACACATCTTCTCATATACTTTAAATCATCAGTAAATCCTTACAATTACTAATAAAATATAAATGCCATTGTAAGTTACACTGTATTGTTAGAGAATGATAAAGAATAAAGTGTGTATGTGTCTTACAGTTTTATTTTTTCAAATATTTCAGAGTCATCGTGGGTGGGATGCATAAATGTGCATGTGGATATGGTAGGCCCCCTGTACAGTAGTTGTCTCCAGGAAGTGTGCTTGTGATTATTTGAATTATGCACACCTAATTGCTTGTTTTAAAAATGATGCATCTCACATGTTTATTCATGCCACATAGTAAATGGTTCTTGCACAAGTCCCCAGTGACATTCTGTGTTTGATCTGACAGCCTGCTTAAATTTACAGGCAGACTGGCGCTTACCTGTGTATGTAGTGAGCTGGTAACGATGGCCATGAGCAGGCACAGAACTTGAACCCTTGTAAAGCTTAACTTTTTCGTCAGCCCTGCTGACTTTGTAAACTGAAGCTCATCCACTTCATTCCTCCCCGATCTCCTGGTAAACCTGGATAGAATGGGGCTTCCTGGGGGCCCCAGTGTTTTTAATAATACTTCGCAGCATCTCCACAGGACCATGGCTGCACCAGACCCCATGGCCAACTCTGAAGTGGCTGCTTTTGTTTAGAGTGCTCTTTTCACTTGAAAGAACTGTAGCCAATCTGGACTTACTCATACAGGTATTTGGCAACGATCTTAAAAAATGATAACATGAGGAAGAACAATGGTATGAGCATGTAGAGATCTTGAGACCAAAAAGTTTTAAAACAAATGTGAAGCATTTGTTGTTACAAGTTTGTTTGGTTTTGTTTTGTTTTGTATTTTTGTCCTGTTTCTATGAAGTACTTGTTTAGGGAGAAATAAGCACTATGGTTGGGTTAGAAATAAGGTAGTATATTTTTTTAAATAAGGTCTTTAGTTCCTAAAAGAAAGGAATCTAGATCTGAGGCAGTTTCTGAGTGTGTGAGTTGACCTGCTTGTGGAGTTTTAAAGTTACTGTAGTTTACCCATTTCCTTACGGCTTTCTTCCTAGGTGCCAGGCTGTATTCTGCATGCTTTGTAAACTGTTAACTCATTTCATCCTTACAGCACCCCCAGGTATTATGTCTGCTAACATCCCTCTCTCACACAGGAGAAACCTGCAGCCAGAGAAATTGCAGGATCTCTCAAGGTGACACCGATAGTGAGCAGTGAACTGGGATTTACGTTTAGGCAATAAACGGCCTGCGCCTCATTTTATAGTTGAACTTGTAGCACTTGGCACGCTTTCCTAATGCTGCGCCTACTACTGTTCTTCTGAATTGCGGTTCTCACTCTTGCTTTCATCAAACTATTGTAATGAACAAAATTTACAAGGTGGTGTATTGTGTTTCACAGGATATTAGGAACTCTGCATTTTGAAAACAGCTGTCATTGCTTTTCTATTTTCTACTTTGCTCACCTCCATCTTTTTCCATTTTGCTATACTAGTGCTAGATTCTGATAACATGCTGCTTTTGTCCTTAATCTTATTCTTTACATTTGCTTTCTCCCCTGGCTTCTGAATCTGGAAAATTAGCTTTCATTACTCTTTGGTCAGTTTGACAGGTTAACTTAATTGACTCTTGTGTTATAAATTAATCTGGTGAATTCTGTATTTTCTCTTAGAGTTGAAAAAGACCACATCTGACTTTTTAATAAATTCTACCAAAGTGACCCTCTTACACATCTAGAAGAGAACTCACTGAACAGGTAGCTGATTGCAGTTTTGAACAACTCCTAAGTTGTCTCATTGAACAAAAATTTTTTATCTTCCTAGATTTAACCATTCTTTAGGAGCTGTTCATGTCCTGCTACCTCCCATCTTTGTGACACTTGATAAGTGTCCTCACCTTCCATCCTTACTCTCTTGGATAGTCTGCGGTTTGTCAGTGCCTGTCTTACTACATTTTTAAAGAACTAGTATATTCTAGACTTAGTCTCAGTACAATACTGAATCTTTTCCTTACCTTGGATTCCTGGTTGTGTTAGTATCTCTTGGGATCACATTATCCTTTTCAGTAGACGTATCAGCCTATTGATGAAGAAAAATGTAGCGTAATGTTAGCAGTACTAGTCATACTGCCTAGTTGGAGATGTGCCTTTACAACCTAGCTGTGAGTTTGAGCACATTACATTGTTAAGTCCCACTGAGTTCTATAAAATGAGGGATAATTGTAATTTGTACATCATAGATGGGGATACAGAACAATCAAACTAAAGAAAACAAAAAATGCTGTAGTGATAAAGCTGTGATTACATATTAAAATTACAGAGTCCTAGTCTCAGTTGTCAGCAGCTACATAAAAGACCATTCAAAACTGGTTTATTCCTTGTGATTCTGTGGCTTGGCTGGACTGTTATTGGACAGTTCTTCACATAGTACTTGGCTGTGATCACTTACTGCTGCATTGAGCTAGGATTTCAGTAGGGGCTGAAATACCTGACAGGAGTTCACTTAAATGTTGCAGAGGGTGGGGCTGGGCGTATCTTTCTTGTCACCTAGGTAGTTTGACTTATGTGCTGGCTCAAGGATCCAAGAGAGCAAAAAGGAAAATCTCCAGGTGGACGTGTTAAGGGTGAGGCCCAGAACTGGAACAGCTGTCACATGTTCTGAATTCTGTTGATTCAAAGCAACTCAACAAAGCCAGCCTGGACTCTAAGAAGAAGGAAATAAATTATACCTCTTGAGGAAAAGGAATAACATCCAGGAATAGGAACAGCAGGAAATTTTGATGGAGGTCATCTCTGGAGAAAGTCTACCACAGTGAGCCAGAATGTTAGCCCCTTTAATTAATTTGTTCTTTAATCCATCTTGGTTAGTTTTTTGTTGTTGTTTTTGCTTTGAAATAATGCTTCTTAGCTAGATGTCATCAAAAGATTTAATAGAAGTATGCCAATTTTTTTTTTGGTACCTGGGATCGAACTTGGGTCCTTGCACTTGCGCAGCAGGCGGCGAAACCACTGAGCTAAGTCCCTGGCCTGCCAATTTTTTTTAACCTTTTGCAACTTGTTAGGATCACCATTTCACCAGAAACAATTGCCATTGACTTTGGGTCTGCAGGCCAGTAAGTAGCCTAGCTGCCTTACCAGCAGCCCTCCTTGTTACCTGTGAGTTCTGGTTAATAGCTTTTAAGTTGTTTTATGGCAAATTAAGGGTTTAGCTTGAGGGAAGGCATGCTTAACTATTGTTTTAATTCCTAGGAAACTTGTTATATCAGCACAAATTAACCTCAGTGTAAAATAAGACATTTTTAGGGATACTGAAGTTATTACTACTCATAAAAATATTTCTAGTGACATATATGAACACAGTGCCTAAAGAAGTTAAGTGAGTTTTCTGGTGTTGCTTTAACATTAAATTTAACATTTTAAGTGTTTTACTCTTAGGTAATTACATGTGCTTATGGCCATATAAATAGGTAGAAGCTAATGGGGATAACTGCTTTCTAGAATACAAACCAAGAATTAGATATTTTTTTCCTTTTAAGAATTGATTTATTTGAAGCACAACCCAGTTGAAGATAGACTTCACCTTGATTCCCAGAGTATGCTGGCTATGGTAACAGTGGATTTTTTTTTTTTAGTGTTTCTCTAATTTTGCTTTTGCTGTTTTTCTTCTCCTTAACTAAAAAGAACACAGTAGCTTATTGAGCTATCTCTCCACAATACAATTGTATGTCTTAAATCAGTTGTGGAAGATAATTTTTAGTACGTTAGAATCCAAAAAAGCTTAAATTCTTCATAGCGTTAAACAAAACTATAGGATGACATTTTAGTTTTACCTGTTGTCTGATTTGCAAGCGTGTCTTATTAGGTAAAAATCACTTTGATGAAATTAGAGGACTGTTCTTCAGATGGATAAATTTAATAATCCTTTCCCTGTCTTTAAAAATTAAGCTTTTGTTTTGAAGTATTTTACCTGTTGATGTATTGTTCTAGCTGTGTTCTTATAAATGTCCATTTTGTTCAGATTCCTCTGGCATGCATTGATTGTATTGGTTATATGATTAGTATTTGCTTCAGTTATTCTTCCAGAGTCCCAGAAGTTTTCATCTTGTAGGTGCTTTTTACAGTACTTTCCTTTTTTTTTTTTGTTCCGGGGATCGAACTCAGGTCTGCGTTTGCACAGCAGGCGGTTTACAGTACTTTTAAATGGAAGGTTAGCCCATTCATTGGTAAATGTTGTTATTAAATATGAACTATCTTGCTTAATATTCTGAAACCTGCATGTGAATAAACACTTTGGGGACCTGTATTCATTTGTATCATTCTTAAATAATGAACTGAATACTAATTTCAAATTTTAAGTATTGCTGCCAGAAGCATTTTGCTATAACTGTTTGGTTTTTTTGAGACAGAGTTTCATAGTGTAGTTCAGGCTAGCCTTGAACTCACTGTGTAGTCTAGGCTGGCCCCAAACCTGCAGCAAGCCTCCTCCTTCAGCCTCCCAGTGTTGGGATCACAGGAGTGCCCCGCCATGCCAGGCCCACCATTCTGCTGACTTTTAAACCACAAGTTCATGAGTATTGGATTCTCAGTTATGTTACTGGCAATGAGGACTTTTAAAGTTTTAGAACTTAGTCTATAGTGTGTGCTTAAGAAATGCAGTTACTTTTGTAAATGTTTTGTTCTTATTATGTCTATTTCTTTTCTTCCTAAGTCTCTTTTGGAAAAGTTCTTAATCCCCAATGCTTCACAAGCAGAGAGCAAAGTCTTTTATTTGAAAATGAAAGGAGACTACTACCGTTACTTGGCTGAGGTTGCTGCTGGTGATGACAAGAAAGGTATGCTGCTTGTTCCAAACCTGTTGGGTGAACTTGTATAAAATATCATAGCATGGAAATAGTCTTTTTCTGTTTTTTTAATTGCTTAGAGCACTGAATGGCAAGTAGTGGTGCTTTTTTTGTGGGTTACAAGATTATGTATGTCTACTGCCTAATACTGGTATTCCGAAATGTCTGCTTTCTAACAAGTTTTGCTTACAAGAATGTTTCCTCACAATTTAAAGAAACTGGCCAAAGCATAACTGAGTAGCAGTGTAAACTACTTATTAAAAATATAACAATAATAGGATTACAAAGTTCTCTTTGCCTAGGTATTAACCAGTGGCTACTGTGGTGATCCAGGAGACACTTTTTTTTCTTTTCTTCAGTTGAGGATGTCATGGGTTATATTTCAGAGAACACATGAAGTATTAAATGAAAGGTTTGGTTTGAGGAATAAAGGTGAACTTCACTCGGTGCATTTTGGTGTGTTGTGTTGTCTAGGGATTGTGGACCAGTCACAACAAGCATACCAAGAAGCTTTTGAAATCAGCAAAAAGGAGATGCAACCAACGCATCCTATCAGATTGGGTCTGGCCCTTAACTTCTCCGTCTTCTATTACGAGATTCTGAACTCGCCAGAAAAGGCCTGTTCTCTGGCAAAGACAGTATGTATTTTACTTGCTACATGAAAATTTAGCAGTCTTATTAATTAAACACTGAAATGTACTTTTTAAAAATCACAGGCTTTTGATGAGGCCATTGCTGAACTTGATACATTAAGTGAAGAGTCATACAAGGACAGCACACTAATAATGCAATTACTGAGAGACAACTTGACAGTAAGTACTTATCAGCATCATTAATGATTAATGTGGCTGAAAGCATTATATTGTTTTGCTACAGGGAATACTTCTGGACTTCTAAAAATTAAATATATATTATCTATTAAAATTACATGAAGGAGAATGCAGAAACCATGACTTGAGCCCTAAAGTGAATATTTTCATTAGTTACAGATTTATTTTGAAAATTTGAATTTTCAAAATAATTTTATGATCCATCATTTTGGAGTTTTAGTGACACAAAACCATTTATTTTTCATATCTTGTTTCAGTTTTAGTCACAGAACAGTTTAATGCCAAAAGAAAACTGAGGCTCTACTTAAATTCCTTCAAAAATGGGGGGCTTGTACATTGAGTTACCTCTACATTTGTATAGATAGGGTTAATGTCAGAAAATTTAGAAATTTTCAGATATTCTGCAGAAACAATATGTAGTCTTTTTTTTTTTGATACTGGGGTTTGAACTCAGGACCTTGTGCTTTCGAGACGTGTGGTACCGCTGAACTAAATCATCGGCATGTGTAATCTTATTTTTGAAAAGGGAAATGACTTAAGGGAAATCATGAATGTCCTTGGTATATACTCCATCATATTTTAAAAAGAACTACAAAATTGAACAGTGACTCCTTCATGATTAATAAAAATTTGAATCCAAATGGTCTCCTTTTTAAGTAAAGTTTAAGGCTTAGGTGAAAAAATTTATCAAGCACCTGCTGTATGTCAGGTAGAGATAAAAATTAGACATTGTGATCTAGTGAGCTTTAGGGCTATATTTTTGGTGGCTATCATTTTGTAAGGTTCACTTTTTATAATTAATAAAAAGAACCTTGAACCCAGAGCCTTGGGGGTACTAGGCAAGAGCTCTGAGCCACATCCCTTACCCAAATGAATTAATCTTTGTGTCAAATGAAAGCACCACCTCAATTTGTTAACTAATTCTGAGAATACTGCTTTTCTGGTTTGAAGTGATGAGATGACATTTTAAAAGATGGAACTTCAAGGGGTTGGGGATTTAGCTCAGTGGTTTCACCGCCTACTGTGCAAGCGCAAGGACCAGAGTTCGATCCCCGGTACCAAAAAAAAAAAAAAGATGGAACTTCAGATTTAGTTACTATATTCTCTCCCCTATGGAGAGAGCCTAATGTTAAGCTGCATCAGCTGAATTTTGGTGTCAGTATAGCATGAAGACTTTACTGCAACAGTAGAGTGAGAAGAAAACCAAAGATTCCCATTCTGATTCTTTTTATTGTATGTCTTCTGTGAACATTAGCATCAGCTATAATCATTTTAGGTTAATTTGATCATTTGTCAAGTAAAGAAACTTGACCAAAACCTAACCTAGTATTTATACCAAGTCTAAACCTGGTTAACAAAGATTATCAACACATTACCCGAGAAAGAACTATCTTGCATCAAATTTTTAATGTTTATATGAAAATTTCAAAAGTCCTTGAAGGTTAGAACTAGAAAGAGACAATTAGAGATAATTTCAGTTTGTTAATCAGTGGAACTAATACATTATGTGAGGAATAGAAAAATACAATTAGATGGGAGTCCCCTCCTCATTTTGTAGTAAGTCATCTAAATGTTAAGATCATCTTGAATCAACCCTTTAATGAAATATCTGAAAATTAGAATGGTCAAGACTTTTAAAATTGAAGCAAGTTTTTGAAGTTATTTTTTAACCTGTTGAAAGATTACAAAATTGATTAAAAAATAATAGAATCCATAATCCTATCACACCATGAGACAACTTCACTACCTCTTAGAATATTTTGTTCTGGCTATTCTATTCAGCATTTATTTTGAGTCATACAAATAGACAAAGATGCGTTTTTCTAAGTTGAAGACGTCGGAAAAGCTGAATTTTTATTTTAGCTTAGAAAACATGCTAACTTTCATGCAGTATAGGATTTTCTTTTACACAGGAATCAGTGTAAAAAATATAGGCATCCATAGTAGTTCTTGAGTAAGGGCCAAATTAGATAATTCTGGTTGAGTTGCGCTCAAATGGTATATCCATCTCTCATGTTCAGGCTTCTCTGAACAATCTGATGTTCTAGTAGTTATTGATACTTTAGTGTTTTGTTAGTACTTCATGTTTTTTCTAGTTTGCCTTCACTTCCTATATATGAGCAAATGTTTCCTTTATCTGACAAATGTATCATATATTCACCATGCTTACAAGCTGATTAGGGAAAAAATAAATGTATTAAGGTATTTTCAGTAGTGCTATATTTCTAAGAATGTTTTTCTAGTTAAAACACATGGTTATATCCTGGGACCTTGGCATACATGTGAAAGCTTGTTGGGGTTTTTTGTTTTGTTTTGTTTTTCAAACTGAAACATGCTGAAAACCTTTTCTTCTTTTATTAGTTGTGGACATCGGATACCCAAGGAGATGAAGCTGAAGCAGGAGAAGGAGGGGAAAATTAACTGGCCTTCCAACTTTTGTCTGCCTCATTCTAAAATTTACACAGTAGACCATTTGTCATCCATGCTGTCCCACAAATAGTTTTTTGTTTACGGTTTATGACAGGTTTATGTTACTTCTATTTGAATTTCTATATTTCCCATGTGGTTTTTATGTTTAATATTAGGGGGAGTAGAACCAGTTGATATTTAGGGAGTTATCTGTTTTCATCTTGAGATGGCCAATATGGGGAAGTGGAATTTTTATACAAGTTACAGATGTTTGGCATAGTACTTTTGGTACATTGTGGCTTCACAAGGGCCAGTGTTAAAATTGCTTCCATGTCTAAGCAAAGAAAACTGCCTACATATTGGTCTGTCCTGGTGGGGAATAAAAGGGATCATTGGTTCCAGACACAGGTGTAGTTATTGTGGGTACTTTAAGGTTTGGAACACCTCTGAGGCTGTGGTAGAAACAGATAGCCCATGGGTCTCCCGTGTATGGAGCCTTGTGTTTCTGGGGAGTGAGCAGTCTGAGCGCACACACCTGTGACTGCAGCTGCAGGGTGCTCCTTTAGACAAAGTCACCACCCATTTACTCTGGATAAGGGCAGAAACGGTTCACATTCCATTATTTGTAAAGTTACCTGCTGTTTGCTTTCATTATTTTTGCTACACATTTTATTTGTATTTAAATGTTTTAGGCAACCTAAGAACAAATGTAAAAGTAAAGATGCAGTAAAAATGAATTGCTTGGTATTCATTATTTTGTGTATATCAAGCATAGCAGTAAACAAAAAAACCCATGTATTTAACTTTTTTTAGGGGTTTTTTTTTTTTTT